GTGGGGAGACGGTTGGTGATTTTTCGTTTCGAAAGATGCACCGAAGTCTGCGCGTCATGAAGAAGCAAGACCGGATACCTTTGTGTTTGGTTGGAGATTTGTGGGAGATAGACGACGAGTGGACGGAAAGGTGTGCAAAGGAGATGGAAAGGGTTGGATTAGTAGAGTTGCAGTATGAGAAGGGTTGTGGTGGATTGCGGGTGCATGATCTCCCCGCGAATCGTGTTACGGCTCTTCATCCTCGAAAGGTACTCCCCCCATGCTTCTGACACTTCTCCCTCCCATCTTTCCCTCATGTACCTCACACTCGTTCCCGCTACGTTCAGGGCAAGCGGCAATCCGCTACATATTTACAGTATTTCACTCACGGCCTCTTTGCATCTCGTATCATCCACTTCCTCTCGATTCGCCACACTCGCGTGCACAAGCATGTCAACTGCTTTTTTCCCTACCCTCTCCCTCGGCTCGAAAGCAACCCAGTCCCCAATCTGATACAGCTCCCTATCCCTCGTGGAGTACAGTAGTCTGCTCCTCCTTTCCCCGCTGTCCCCTGCAGTGTCAGCGAGAACAGACAATTTTTGAAGGATATTCGTGTATATCATTTACCACCCACACAATTTCGCGGTGGAAGAAGCGAAGAAGAAGGAGGGTGTAGAAGAGTGATGTAAGAAGATGGCGGATGTATGCAGGGCAGGAGGAGGGTTGCTTGCATTGAGTGACGACCGAGATGGAGAGGGCAAGAGCGCACGGGAGGAGTATATTTTCGAGAACATATCCGTAGTGTTCATATGTACGATGTATCGTACATAAAGACAGATCCAGAAATTTCTGAACTTGCCTTATGTACGATACGTCGTACATATAAGCCTCTTTTATGTCATCTTTGACCTTCTGTTTCTTAGAAACAAATGTTAGTTTCTCACTGGCGGGTAGGTAGTCAAACTCTATGGGTTGTCGAGAACGTACCTCGTGTTCAATTTCCGCAGAAACGAAGTACAGGGTGCGAACGACAGATCAAGGCGTACCGTCTCACTCTCACCAAAACCTTACCTCTTTGCTCATGCCGGTGGGGATGCTCTTAGAGCCTCCCCACCGGCATGAGCAAAGAGTTAAAAGGTAAAATTTTAGCTTTTACACCCTGGTGAATCCGCTCCGCCGGGGAGTCAAAAAGGTAAAATTATTTAGCCCGGGGGTATTTCCAGGGCGCAAATCGGTCGGTTTTACACCTCGAAAATAGCCCAGAGCCAAAAGTCCACGAGACAAGTGCGAAGCAGTTATTGGTTTCTGGTAGCGGGAATCTGCTCGTACAGTACTTCCCGTTCTCCCACATGTTTCGCACTCGTATTGCCGCGCTTCCCTCTCCAACCTGCGCCTCTCCTTCTGCACCGATCGCAAGGTACATGCGATCTTGCCCCACCACCACCCTGTTTAGGCGCTCCCTTCCGCACACCGCTCTCCCAGGTGCAGAACATGCTCCCACCAACCCACCCAATCATTGCCTCTTTCATCTCGAGCCTCGTTCCTATCACAATAATGGCCGGTACAGAGCAGCAGAAATCCAGAGGATTTAACTATTCGTCCAATGAAGACTGCTCCATTTGAGTGCGTCTCTGCATTTAGCTCTGGCAACACCGGTGGAGTGTGTTGATGTCGGAGCTAAAATGCCAAATGTGAACAAATGCACGTGGGCATGCGCGCTAGTATTTGAATGACAAGTGTTGAAAATATTTAGCTCTTTGCTCATTTATTCTCCACCTGGTGGGGATGCTCTAAGCCACCGGACACGCCTCCTCGGATCGCTCAGGCCTCCTTAGACCAGTCAAACTCCGAGCATGGGCAACAAAAAACCGCCCATTTCGCTATTGCCAGCAACTAAAGCCACCCCCATTCCTGCTGCAGTGAACCAAAGCACAGCCTACCTCACCACGCGAATGGGTCACGCGGTGAGGAAAGAACTTGCCTTGTTTAGGGTTACAGTAAA